ACGCTACCGCGGACTTCGACTCTCTACGATGCGAATCTACGCTACTGCGCTTGACTTCGACTCCCTACACGAACACACACACAATTGCACTCACATACACCCACCGACTCACCCACAACACACAAACGCACGTTGTTGCTGCTAAGCTTTTTACATGTTGAAGGTTCGCCTTCTTATTATTTTTCGTTTCCCTTTTTTGTTTTATTACTGAACGCCGCATTACAATAACCGAGGCGCGCGCGCGCGCGAGAGAGAGAGAGAGAGAGAGAGAGAGAGAGAGAGACATTGCTTCTTAACCCCCGTCGTCCTTTCATTATTGAACGTCGCGTGCACACACAGCATTAAACCAAGCCCCAAGATTCAACCACCGAGTGCACATGTCGCATAACTACAACCAAGGGGAGAACGTGCGCGCGCGCGCGCGGCGAGAGAGAGAGAGAGAGAGAGAGAGAGAGAGAGAGAGAGAGAGAGAGAGAGAGAGAGAGAGAGAGAGAGAGAGAGAGGCAAAAATGAAACAGAGAGAGACAGAGAAGAGAGAGGCGAGACAGAGTAGAGTAGAGAAGAGATAGAGGAGAGAGGCACGAGTGAGAGAGAGAGAGAGAGGGAGGGAGAAGAATGAAACAGATGGAGAGAGAGAGAGAGAGGGAGAAAAACGAAACAGCGGGAGAGAGAGAGAGAGAGAGAGGGAGGGAGAAGAATGAAACAGAGGGAGAGAGAGAAGAGAGAGGCGAGACAGAGTAGAGAAGAGATAAAGGAGAGAGGCGAGACGAAAGAGAAGAGAAAAGAGAGGAGAGAAAGCGAGCGAGCGAGCGAGAGAGAGAGAGAGAGAGGAGAGAGACAGAAAACAGTTAGGAGGTCAAGGACGGGGGAGAGCGAGAGAGAAACCACTGGAGCAGACCGCTGGCGACTCACCGGTGCTGCAGCTGCAGATGCTGGAGATGAAGAAGAAGTGGAATCAATGGTCTGCGTGGTGCTTGAGGATGCCATGGCGGTATGTGCTTGCTCGATGGTGGCCGCAGAAGACGTCGCTTCTTCTGCTGCCGAAGAAGAAGACATCGCTCCTTCTGCCGCCAAAGACGTCACTTCTGACGTATGCTCTGACGTCTCCTCTGCGGCAGCAGCAGCAACAGCTGTGGATGACCTTGATGGGTCTAATCTGCTCCCATCAGATTCCACCTCCACTACCTCAAGATTTGATGGTAGGGAATCTGCCACGTCAGCTGCTGATGACGCTGGCTCAGCCACGTCAGCTGCTGATGACACTGGCTCAGCCACGTCAGCTTCAGACGGTGGCGTCACATCCGCATTCAGCGATGGGAATCTGTACGAGATCTGGTGTTTCATTCATCCATCCATCAATTGACACGTGTGGACACGCTTGTCAGCAACAGCACCAGTCATGTACATAGTATTAATGTTTGTTTGGTTTTTTTTGGGGGGGGGGCAAAAAAAGAGTTTGCGTTGTGTGCATCATGTTCTGTTCACGTTTTCCTTTTTTGCATTCATAGAGGATTTTTCACGTTTTTTCTCCCCTCCTTTATTTCCCACACTCTTTTTCCGCTTTTGGCAAGTTTTTGTCCCACGCTTTGTATGAAATCCCCAGCCCTTTCTATTTCCCTTTCTCTTCGCGTGTGTGTGTGTGTGTTTTTTTCCCTCCCCCACTTCTGCGATAGTTGTGCTATCTCCCTCGGCAAGAGGGCTCGATTCGAGGGTCATCAAACAAATAAAATAAAAAAAATACAACAAAACAATAGGGGAGTTAAGGAGGTAGGGAGAAAAAAAATAAGATAAAACAGGAACCACTCAAAAAAAAAAAAAAGAAAAAAAAAAGGGATAAAACTGGAAAAACCCGCGCACCCACACACCCAACACCACATCTCAGGCAAATCAGGAAAAACAATTACCGTTTGTTCCGCCGAACACATCGCACCCTCCCACCATGAACGAACCAACCCGAGCTTTCTTTCACCGATCACAAAATTGTGCCACGTGGCAAGCGTTGCGACTCCTTGGGCTAAATAAATATTGAGACCCTGCACCATTCATTCATTTGGCCACGTGGCAATTTTTTGCCACTTCCCCAATTGCAAAACAAGTGCCAGGTGGGAAATTTTGTGGCACCCTTCACGCAAAACAAGTCCACGTGGCAAATAACCGCGTGGCAAAAACACATGTGGCAAAACATGTGCCGCACAACAAAATTATGTGCCCCCCACCACCTTCCATGCAAAACAGAACAAGCCCAACCTGGCAAAAATTTCCAGGCAAAAAAACATGTGTCACACGGCAAACTAATGTGCCCCCACATTTCATGCGCCACGTGTCAAAATGTTGTGCCCCCTTTCATGCAAAAAAAACAAGCGTGAGCACCAATGCACCACAGCTCAGTACGTAACACCCTTTCATGCAAAGCTTCATATAAATCTTGGGATAACACTTTTCTAAAGGGAGTGCTGCTGAAAATTTTACAAATCTAAGGAGTTCGTTGAATTTTGTCTTAGTTGAACTCAGGTTTTGCTTTTGAGTTCGTATCTAACTTAGTATAAACCTGGGAAGTCTCCCTTTCAGAAGGGAGTACTGCCCAAACTTTTACTAATTCAGGGAGTTAAACAAAATTTGGCTTTCCAGAGATAGAGATTATTTCAGTCTTTATATTCAAGCTAGTATAAATTCTGAAAAGGCACTTTTCCTACAGGAAGCGCTGCCAAAATTTTCTTAGTTTAAAGGAGATAGATTATATTTTACAAGTGGTGATTTTGGCGATCCACTCTGCATAGGTGAGATTTTGCAAGGATCTACCTTTCGTTCGGCAGTTAATTAGGGCAATTTTAAATGAGATCATGATATGGAGATTATTCTCCATGGACTTATAGATCTAGCTTCGGAATTGGCCTGTCATGTGTTACAAGTCCTCTTGATCATTTAATTCAAGATTTGGACTAGATTCAGCTTGATCCTATGACGATCATCTTCTATTATCACTAATAACAAGTCGGTTGTCGATTCGTCGGTTTCCAATCCATTCTCGTTACCCAACCTAAAAGGCTTTATCCCTTGTGGTTTTATCTATTTTATTATTGTTTTCACCCGGACTTTATTGAATGGCCATTTAACAAAGGTGGAAGGTTGGACAAAGGTTGGGGTATGCATGGCTAAAGCAAGGGGTATGAGTATAGAGAATGGCCGAAGTTGACCCGTGCAGTGTGTGGACTTCTGGTTGATTCTTTGATGTGATTGCAGGTATGTTTTATGGTTCGGACTTTGAAATTGACTGTCTGCGATCACATACATATATATGGCTGAGAGGAGTTTCACTGTAATTGTGAGAAGTGATGTCACATATTTATTCCCCTCTATAGATATACGTGCATACCTATGTTTGAGTATTCACGTGGCCTAAAGAGCCCGCGCTGAAGGATTTAATAGGGGCTGAGACTGAGAGAGGAAGGCAAAACACCTGACCCGAGTTCGAATCCAGACGCGACCCGATAATGAAGAGAAAAACAACAATTCTGAATTTTGCTCGGGGCCGAAGAGTTCAATGAGGATATCTTAAGACTGTGGCCCTATTAGAAAAAAAAACACTGAAAAAAAAAGAAAAAAAAAGTGCAAGGTGGCTAAATTTTGCGCCTTCCATGCAAGACAAGCGCCACATGACAAAATACCATGGCCCCTTTCATGCAAGACAAGCGCCATAACCAGCACAGTCACGTGGCAAAATTATTATGTGCCCCCATTTCGTGCATCATAACACGCATTGAATCTCAGTGCCCCCCTCACAGAGCAACCCACATCAAGTGTGCAGCACCCGTCCTCTTCCCTTTTTTCTTTTTTTTCTTTTTTTATTTCGTTTTTTTTTTTTTTGCACGCGCGGCAGCCGTGCTCATTTTCCGCTTGTTAACCATTCCTCCGTAAAAAAAAAAATTCGCGTCATGCAAATGGTTTATGACGTTATCCATTTTTTGTCCAGCGTGTGGCAAGAGGGGGANGAGAGAGAGAGAGAGAGAGAGAGAGAGAGAGAGAGAGAGAGAGAGAGAGAGAGGTCTCGCAACAAGCTAACGGTTGGGTAAAGTGGGGAGTTCGGATAGGTCATGTCATATACGCAGGATCGGGAGGTGAGGGGTCTCACGACATGCTAAAGCTTAGGGAAAGAGGGCAGTTCGGAAGGGTCATGTCATACACGCGGGAATGGGGGAGGAGTGGGCTAGGGGGAAGGTAGAGGGAGGTTGGGGAGCAGGAAGAGGGGTTGCGAGATGCTTTCCAAATGACGGCGGAGGGGAGGGGGGGGGAGGACGAGGCGGAGGATGAGAATGTCGATGACGTGGAGGAGGGCGATTCGCAGGGGAGGAGGAGGATGACGATGCGGGAGGACGAGGAGGAGGAAAGGGCAGCAGAGGGGAAGGACGACGAGCAAGAAAAAAATAGAGCATATGATAGCGGGAGGAAGAGACTGAGGGAAAAAGGAGGTGGAGGATGGCGATGGCAGTGGAGGAGGACAAGGAGGAGGCGAAGGGGGCAGCAGGCGGGAACATCGACGGGAAAAACAAAGATGAAAAAGGAAAAAGATGATGATAGCGGGAGCGAGGAGGTGGAGGAGGAGAAGGTCGAGATGAGTATGGCCATGGCGGAGGAGGAGGAGGATGGCGATGGCCCAGCAGAAGAAGGTGGGCGATGGGGCAGGACAAGGATTAGGATGTCAATGGCAGAGGAGAAGGGGGGTGATACTGATGACGAGGAGGAGGGGAATGACGGATGACGTGACTACACTTGGCCTACTGTAATTGGACGTTGGAGGAGGGACGAGGAGAGAGAGAGAGAGAGAGAGAGAGAGAGAGAGAGGAGGGGGCGAGAGGCGGGACGCTGCACTGTCCACAAAATGACTCGGATACATGCCGCTGCATTTCTCTTTTTGTGTTATGTTTTCCAGGGAATCCTCCAAAAGACGCTTCGACATGGCCAACATTACAGCTCACATCAAGACACGACTTCAGATGCATGATCGAATTTCCCATATTGGACGGCAAATGCCGGACAGAGAGAATGTCGCATACTCCGGTCATACATTACAAGACCTCCTGAAAACAGAGGCAGTCCTACAATCGCACACGACTTGCCTCAACTACTCTGAGCAACTCTCAATCATACTGTCTCACCCCACCAAACTGAGACTTACGCATGCGCTCTCGCACACACACACACACACACACACACGCACACACACGCACACATGCACAAACAGACACACACACACACACGCACACATACAGAGGTAGTTTTTTAGTGGCTGGCTTTGAAAAAAAAAAAAAAAAAAGTGGAAAGAATTCCTGCAAGTGCGAAGAATTGCATATTTTTTTACATCTGAAAGTGAATACATCTTACGCCGCAAGAGAGAGATATGCTGACAAGGTATTAAATGTGAAGTTTTTCAGACAGAACAGGCCAGTGAAAGGCCTTCCACGATTCAGGCCCCACATTCGGGTCTCAGGGTCAGAGGCCCTGGTCAAGAGAGGCAGAGTTCGTCAAATTCAGAAAAGTCACAGTCAGGTACCTCAGCAGTCCAGTCCAACAGGCACCCAGCAAACAGTCACATCTTAGGGGCAAGAGTCACGTCTCATAATGAAAAGTCAGATTGAAGAGTCACATTCCACGAGTTAAAGGGCAGTTCCACAGGCAAGAGTCGTGTCCCAGAGGCAGGAGTCACAGTCCACAGTCGAAACCCATATGCCAAAATCGAAAAGTCGTGGCTCAAAGGCCCAAGCAGCAGCAGACCAATGGAAATTCGGGAAGGTTCCAGGCCTTGATATTCAGAAGCAGACAGGCCGTGGGGATGTGGTACCGGAACCCAGTCAGGCCCCAGGAAGCAGAGGCTGGCACGAGTTGAAGTGCAATCCAAGACTACAAAAGGACTGGCCAGCCTACCATTCCGGCAGATTGCTCATTCGCATGAAGTGTGGAAGTGCTGGTGCACTTGTGCGCTATTGTGAGGGGCAGAGTGCTGAAGCCAGAGTGCTGCGCTGAGATAGAGGGGGAGAGAGGAAGCGATTGTGCTGGAGGGAGAAGGCAGCCATAGCTGCACCAGTGCAGAGTGTTAGTAGTAGACTTTAGACTCGTTTAGAGGGTTAGTAGACATATCAGTGGGTGTATTCAGAGTAGATCCTTGAGTAGAAGTTAGTGATTGTGCATGCATGTAGGGAGAGAAGACACAGCGAGGACATAGCTAGGGAGAACACCAGCGAGGAGAGGGGAAGAGATACTTACCTGAGAGCTTATGCTGGTTGCTGGTTGCCTTTCGTATGCGCTGATGAGCGCTGGTGACTTGAA